GAATTTTTGCATTTTTGTTAGATGGGTCTTCATATGAAAAATTATCATATAATAATTTTTCAAACTTATCAACACCATATTTATCTTTAAAAAGTTCTATAAGAAAGTTTATAGGTGGAATATAAGACCAAAAGCTACGTTCAAAAATCTCATATCTTTTTTTTTCATAAAGTTCAACCAGATGGTCAGCCCGAAGCTTTGGTTTAGTTTTATTATCTCTGTCTGACACTGTGAGCCCCAAAGCGATAATAGAGCCTGTTGAATTACCAGCCACAAAATGAAATATTTCAGCAATAGGTCTTCCTACCCTTTTCTCAAGTTCTTGGAGTACCATGGCTGGAATTATACCTCGAATCCCTCCCCCATCAATAGAAAGAATCCACACTTTTTCAAATAAACTTTAATTATTAAAATTTTTTTTTGTATTAAAACAAAAAAATTCAAATGTATCTTTACCTCTTTTTGTTATTGATGCCATATAGAAATGTAAAAATTTTTTTACGGTATTCGTTATGAAAATTACAATTTAATATATATAGATATATATATATATAATTCGTATAAATCTTGTAACATTGCACAAATTTTAATTTTGATCCATTTTTGATATCTCATAATCTAATGATCAGATTTCAATGGCGCAATGTTACATTTGATTGAGACTTATGCAAATTTGATTAGGTAAATCCTATTTTATTTTACTAATATGTAAATTTTGTATATATGTATCTATTTCCTTTTTTATTTTTTCATCCAGGAATTTTGAAGAATGCTTAATGAACGGGTCAATGAACAGAGTTGTTACGTACACCAAATATGGATCTTATGTAGTATAGGTGGCCAGGCCGTTAAGGCTGAAATGCAGTATAGGTGGTCAAGCTCCGACAAGTTAATAACTCAGGTAGCTTAATGATCACCGATAAACTCTATTCAAGTTTGTCTAAATTTCTAATCATAAACTATTTTAACCTTCTGATCACAAACTATTTTAATCTTTTGATCACAAACTATTTTTAATTCAATAATACAAAAATATCGTTCTTGACCTACCCTAAAAAACAATGCATGTCACTTTTGGCTATGTGATTGGTCATATATTTGAAATATACGTAATTTTGTATCTCAAATTGAAAATATTTTCAATAATTCGATAAAATATCTTCATGACATTTTATTTAATCAATAACTTTCTATCTAAATTTGAATTAGTTTTATCTGGTATAAATGCAAGATAGGTTTGAATCACTTTAGAGGATGGAGTAAAACTGTTAGTAATTCTAAAGGGAGCTTCCAATAAAATTAGAACGGCACAAGTAGCCCACATTGCCCACCCTTAGTTGAACTTATTTTCGGCTGCCGTAATTATTTTTGGTTGCCGTAATTATTTTCGGCTACCGAAAATAATTTCGGCATTTTGGCATTTTGAAGTAGCATGCCGAAAATATAAAAAATGCCGTAATGCCGTAAATCATCTTGAATTTAGGCACTCATATGTCTGCATTTTTAGATCTCATACAACTTAATTTTTTTCAAAGCTCCTTTTTAAATTCTATATACAACATATTTTTCTGTTTCTTGTTTCGCGCAATTGATATACCAGGAACGGAGTGTAACGAAGTGTATGGCTTAGTCAAGAAAGAAATGGTGTGCGTTTCCAAAATCTAATACCCGATTGGTCGGCGTGATCATAGTTGTCACATCTTGTATATT